TGCGATGATGGGCTCAAATATAGCAGGGATTGTGGGGCTGGTGCGGGATCGGGCAGTGTTTCGTTCTGCTGTGCATGGGATCGCTATGAGTTGGAAACGACTCGACGGCACTTAACAACAACAACAGGAAGGAGAGACAGGTTTTGGAGGTATCACAGTGGGCAGCATCAGACTGTTGGAGGAAGAGAGAAAAGAGAGGCTTCCTGAAGCTGGTAGACTCAAGGAAGACTCTACATAGTCCTTGGGGAGGGACCGGGCTATGAGAAGCTTCACTGGCATGGAGGAACCATATACTTCCCTCTAGATTCATTCTTCCCAAGTACAACTTGGATGCAGCCACCCAGAGTGGCTTGGAATCCAGGGTCCAGAAACCTTGCCCCACTCTGCATTGGGAATCCTGCTTGACCTACCAGTGGGGCCATCAATTCTTTCCCCAAGGCTCCAAGGCTTTTCCCAATAGGGGGCAGCTTAGAGGGACACTTATACAGAGGGGGAAGTGTCTGACAGTAGGATCTTTCCAGGCTGCTGGGATTGGGGAGAAAAGGTTTGAGGATGGCTGTGGATGCCCAGCTGAAGTCCCTGCAATCATAGCATCAGCCCCCTGCATACACTGCTCACAGGAGCCCCAAAGCCACAATGAGATACTGAGACCACTCAGGCCTGGCTCTACCATGCATTCACTGAGTGAAATCACTGTCTACCCTGAGCCTCGTTCCTCATCTGGAAAACATCAGTGATGAGCTGGATCAGCCAAAGCAGGCTGGCCCCAGTCCCCAGGATAGCTTTATGAAACACACATCCCTGGGCCTATCTCCTAACTACTAACAGTGTTTCTGTGGGGGCAGGACCCGGAAAAGGTATATGGATTTTGAATAATACAATATGTTTTAAGTTTAGAAAACAGAGGGAGGAACAAGTTTTAAAATGCAGGCACTTGGAATTTTAAAAAGCTCCTTGATAAATGTGTCGGTCAGTTGGACTGGGCACCAACTCTGATGTTCCCCCATCACTCTATTCTCCTTCAAAGAAGAAGGTGCAGAGGGCACCACTGACATTCATCCCTGTCTGGTGGTGCACCGTTGTAACGAAAGCTGCATTCAAGGTCCACCCTCCTCCCCTGGCATCTCAGGCTACTCCCTACCCCCCAGGAGCTGGTCCCCTAATCCTCCCTGCCTTACATCCCTCAGTCCAGTTAATGAGGTCTCCTTGGCTTCCCATGACATATTCTCCTGCTTCCTCTATCCATCTGCCAGGCATCACTTTCCTCTGCTCAGTCTCTACTCATTCAGATCCTACACAACTTTTAAGACCCACTTTAAATGTCATTCCCTCCCTGAAGCTACTGCTCTCTGTAGCTTGCTTGGCCTTGGGCTCACTGGTCCTTGGGAATACAGCCGAACCCTTTCCCCTACCTCAGCTGCGTGCAGTGTCAGCCAAGGTTCAAGGGTTGTTTCAACTAATGAGTGAAAGAATGAAGCCTTCCCATGGTCGTAACCTTATGGGGCCCAGCTGTGACTTGACTTACAGGGAATGTCAAATCCTAGAGAGAGCCTGAGTGACAGATCCCCCCAACACACACACACTATTTTCCTTCTACACCTTTCCTCTACTTTGTCATGGCATGCTTTGGTATTGTTATTTATGCCTGCCCTTCCTGCCATGTGATAAACTCCTGGAGATAGGAAAGGTATCTGTTTTGCTCACCACAGTATCTCTAGTGCCTGGAATACAATAGATGTTCAACAAATACCTGCAGAATTGACTTCTGGTAAGATGGAGGAATAGGAAAACAACCTACACAGACCCTCTTCAACAAAGAAAAGAAAAACCAATTGACAGAAATACAGAAGATAATCCTGGAGCCCTGAGCTTTGAAAGGAACTATATAGAAGTGGATTAGCTACCAACTAGTGGAAAAATCTGAACAAAGACAGTGAGTACAGAGATGGTCAGAGCTGCAGACTGTCAGTTACTCTTATGGGATTGACAGCCTGAATATTTCCAAGTGGTGTTGGGACTGAGAATTGACCTAAAGATTAGTCCTGGTCACCAAGGACTGCAGGGATGGCTGCACTGGTGGCCTATATGACTAGGAAGGGAAACGGCAAGGAAAGAGACAATCTGAGCTGTTGACTTTCTGCTGTCCAGAGGGTGCAGCCATTTTGGGTATTTAAAGTGACCGAGGGCACAGCCATTTTGAATGTTTACAGGTGGTGGCCATTTCGGATATTTAAACTGACCAAGGGTGCAGACATTTTGAATATTTACAGGCAGTGGCCATTTTAGATATTTAAAGTGAATGAGGGTGCAGCCATTTTGAATCTTTACAGGTGGCAACCATTTTGGATTTTAAAGTGATAGCATTCTCATTTGGATTCCAGGGACCTAAGAATAGGCTCTGTTTGCCAAGGTTGGCAGGGACATACGGGAGGCTGACAACAGGAATGGAGACAGGTGGTGAGTGTATAAGTGCTGTCAACTAGTGAATAGAGGAGCACAGCACAGTACCCTGCTTGCATAGATAACATACAAACAAAAGAAAATGTAAATCGTGGGCAAGTCACTCCAACATACAATCACCAATTAAATATAAACACAAAAAAGTCACAATGCCACAAAGACAACAGAGCATCACAGTCTAGACAAAGAAGCAAGATAAAGCAGGAGAAACAAGGGACCCAGGATACAGAACCAAAACACATCCCTGGGGAAGACACAACATTGGAACTCCCTGAGAAGGAATTAAAAAGAATTATATTTAGGTATCTTCAACAAATGGAGAGAAAGATCAAGGAAAACACAGAGAAAAACCTAGAACAATTTCGAAAGATAACAGAAGAACAAAATGACAAAATAAATGAAAAATTAGAAATGATACAAAATCTATACACAGAAATCCAAAAGATTAATACTAAATTTTCAGAAATAGATAAGACATTGAATGGGCAAAGGAGCAGAATTGAAACAATGGAAAATAGAATTAGGGAGATTGAAAGCAAATATCTGAACACTTCTTTGGAAAGGGATCAATCAGAAAAAAGATCAAAACAAAATGAAGAAAGCCTAAGGTTCATGTGGGATACCATCAAAAGGAATGACGTACGTGTAATTGGAATTCCAGAACAGGGAGAGACAAATAAAACCACAGAGAAAATTGTTGAAGATTTGTTGGAAGAGAATTTTCCTGGTAT